GCTTACTAGTGCAGATGTCTTAACCACTCAACCACCGAGCTTGCCGGGGTCGGCTGGCCAGTCCGAGTCAAGTTAATTACGTTTGGTAAGGGCAAAAACCTGTTATATAAATTAACATCTCCCCAATGCTAAAATACATCTTGAAAACAAGCAAACTGTGTTGACCAAGTATTTCTTAGTTTCTCAAAGTATCAAACTATTAAGAATACTCCATCAGAGACATCTATCAGTTGTTTTATTTTTGAAGCCTTTTTATGTCAGATAGGGACAGATAGAAGTGAAATTTCTGAGGTGTTTTGGCACCCCTCTTGTCCATGCCAGTGATTAAAGTGATTGAGTGATTTGAACAATCGGCTGTTACTTTAAAGGTAACTAATGCCACTACTTACTTGTGCCTTGACAGACCATGAATGCTGCACGCTCAGCATTCCTGCCAGAACAAGAAAAGGTGGAGCTTATCCAACAATTGAGGGCAGCATACAACCTCAAGGATTAGTGAGTCATTACCTCAAAGCATTTTTTATCAAAGTAAAAAAGTCAGGGAGCTAATTTTGATTAAGAGACTATAAAAATCTATGCACTCTAGGACAAGTTCGGGTGTGAACTATAGTTCGACCAGTAGCTAATTGCTTTTTAACAATGCACATGTGCAATTCTGTTACACTCAAATGACTCTAGTCGGTCAATTGTTTTTAAAATCTCATCATTACGTACATTTTACCATTGACTGCAATTCTCGCAGCATACATGGTCATTGACATCTCGTCCAGTTATTTTCAGGTGAATGGTTCCCTCTGTAATGATAAATGAAATTGGCTAATGATAACCAGTCGTACGACCATACCACATGTCCTGGACCCAAATGGTCGATGAGATAAAACTTGCCCCCATCTGCCTTATGGAAGCACCCACCAGCCCGAGGCCTCTAACAAAAATTTGCCTTGGAAAAAGTTGCCTGTCTTTAAAACTTGCACACACTCTGCATAGCTAGAGCTGTATACTGTGCAAAGCCGTAGAGCTGGTGTCTAGCACAGGTTTTTGGAGTATATTTCTGCCCGTAAAACTGAAACAAAATTCCTGTCACACATGTACTCTTACAATTTCTCATTAATGTTATGGCAAGTTATGCAATACTTCTCAGTACAAATTGTGGCTAAAAAGAGAAGGGCTCACTATTGTGTCAATCAGGGTTCCCGCGGCCTGGAAAAGTCATGGCAATTTGTTTTTGTTTTCCAGGCCTGGAAAAGTCAGGAAATTTTTTTTAGATGACTAAAGTCATGGAAAAGTCAGGGAATTTTTCAAATGCTGTTTGTGATTTCTTTTATCAGAAATAAGTGCATAAAATATGGGATTGTATTCGCAACTTTAGAAGTCCAAATAGTCCAAGAAATCACATTATTGGGTCATGGATTTTCATAATTCGGTCATGGAAAAGTCATCGAATTTCGTTGTCCTTTAGGTGCAGGACCCTGTCAATATCAGAGTTCCAAAATTCCCCTCAGTATATGAAAAATAGTATATGTACCTTAAATACATTGATATTTATGATCATGTGTTTTTATCTACTTATGAACGGGTTTTTATAAGCACTTGAGATTTGTATACATTTTTATTATAACGTGTGTCTAAGCAAAATGGATATATCATTAAGGAGCTGTATATAAACAAATGATTACATATCTGTATTCATACTTTGGGCAACAAGCTCAAGTTTGGAATGTACTCAGGTTTTAGATATTGCCTTGTCTCAGGAACAGGATTAAAAAGTACGATATTCTTTAATTAGTTTTCACAGGGACACCTTTGCAAGCATGTACACTGAGAAGCTACAAGGTAGTTTTTTAGACCAAATGATTTGTAAGACCAATTTCAGAGCCTCTTCGTGTAAGGATTTCAGTTAAAATTCTAAAATTACATTTAAACTTTACAGACAAAGTTGTAGGTGTTGATTGTAATATTTGGTCCGTTGACTTGGTCACATGATTTTATGACAACATGGTCTAGTCACTGAAATCTTCAGAATAGGTCTTAAATCCCAGTTCACACTGATGATGTGCATACTGTGGCAGCCTGGCGGGTACAAAAGTAATTATAATGGCTAATAGGATTGAGGCATCCTATGTACAAACATATTACATTAGCCTATGTTAAACAAGTTAATAGTGACTTGATTGGAAAAGTTTATTTGTTGACTGCATGTACCATGTATCTTAAGTTATACCAGATATATTATATTGTTTTAATCCGTAAAAGTGGAAAGGCTTTTAAAGATGAAATAAACTATTGAACAACCCA